GCAGCTGTCAAAGCCATTCTATTACCTGCAGTGAGCTCATACTGCTCCTTCCACAGACAACCAAAGACACATTCATTATTTGAATCAACTTTTCCTTGTCAATGTACAGCTAACCATCAATAGGCCAACGTGCTTTCTAGCTTTGCCCTGTGAATCCATAAACATTATAAAAGTATTTATGACAAATAACTGGACACTACCAAAGTATTCTCATATCGAAATAAATTGCTTACACATACCAAGAGAGCTAAAATAAGATTATTATTTCTCAAGTTTTTTTTAAATCCAATTTTTTTACTTGATTTTGTGTAACTGCAAATCTAGGAACAGCTCAGTCTGCCAGAGTGGGGAAGGAGTCTTGGTGGGACCAAGACTCTTCCCAACATCCCACAGTCAGGTACAAAGCCCGTGGCTGAAAGACACGTCACTCCGTTTTGTGCAGCTCTTAACTTGCCTTACCTACAGATCAGTCAGCCTCAGGGACTGCCACACCACACTGCTGCTATGGTTTGGTTTTCAAAGCCTGTCCTGAGGCTTCCCAATGCTGCAAGACACTTCCTAGGCAATTAGTGCTCATTAGAGAACTGATGTAACTTATCTTACTATTAACAGGCAAGTTCCAGTGAAAGCAACATATAAATCATTCTAGGTATGTAAAATTGCTCTTAAAACATTCAACTTGACTCCAAATATTTTACTATTAACTGTAGACTATGGCTACAAACCAGTCAGCTAATACAGAAACTAGGAGTTCCCTTAACTGTTAAATGGGGGGAGCGACTCGCCCTCCTGCTACAAGTTGCAAATAACTTGGCTTCCTTCTACCTCTGAAACTTTTTTTTGGAAATGAGGACAGAACCACCCACCAGCAAGTCACATTCAGAACATTTCCCCATCCTCCCCTCTTTTTGTACAGCCTTAGTCAATAGACCTCCTATCTGCTTCTACCTCGGGCTTTGAACCTGCCAAAACAGGAATCACATCTTGTCTGCAAAAGGGACTACAAGTGATCGACTTCCAGTGGTTGATATAAAAAGCTTTTCCCACATGCACAGTTAGTGCAGATTGAGCTTGGCACAGACTGCTCAGATAACAGTTACCAGCAGCAGATGTGCTCCAGCTGAGAGCTGGACTGAAAGCTCCTGGTCTCCTGAAGAGGAGGACATCAAATACTTTCCTGGTCCTAGGTTTCATTAAAAGCTGAAGGGATGGCTGGTTTAATTATACCCCACATTCAATTCACAGATTAGAAAAGACATTCATTGCCAAACCCCAGCACCAGAATTACCAGTGTGTGATGACAAATTCAGCTTTTGTATCTTTAATCCCTTAAAAAGAGGTAGTCAAAAGGGAACTCTCAATGCCATCTTTAAATGAGAGACTTTTATTTACAGACATTATCTTGGAGCATTTCTTTGCAAGATACCTGTAACATAACCTCAGAAACAGGAATTAAAATTGACTTAAAGCATCCAGTTTAGCAATTCTCTTGGCACCTCTGTTGCTCTGTGCTAATCTACACAGGGGGGGGAAATCACCCTAGAAAATTAAAATATTTGGAGGGTATTGTCTGAATTTATCTGCTACCCATATAATGGATTCAGTTTCTAAGAGTTCAGTTTAAGCAAATCAGTGCACAGAAAGACCAAAGAACCAGGGGAGAAAAGCACACAGTGAAAAGTCAGTTTAATGAAATCTTGCATGACAAATTATGGCAATTATCATAATTGGAATTCCTAAAACTAGATAAGATTACGGGGAAACATGGTAAATTTTCAAATATGTAACATGTTTCTAGAAAGGAAATAAACCATTTTCTACACCCACTGGGAGAACAAGAGGCCAGTCAAACTGCAGAGTGGGACGCGTGAGGAACAGTGATTGAACAGCAGCGATAGAACTGACACCTCAGTGACTGGGAACAGGGGGAGTCGGTGGGAGTTTGGGGGTTTTATTCCTGCAGGCCACTAACAATCTGGACACCTGCCCAGCCTAGTTCCAGTGGACTAGTTTATTTAGATCTTTCCTTGCCCTGTCTTCTCTGAGTAGTGCATCACGCACTGGGAACTGGACTACAGAAAGATGTTGTAATTACACATTTTCTTACCTTAATGCTTGTATTTCACGTGGATGTAATTTTATTTTTAATTTTATGGATAAGAGGTTTGCTTCTGGTTTTAGTAACACCACCATTCTTGCAACATTCTGCCCATGAGATGTGCTCAACTTTATTAACCTTTTCAGTTTGTTTTTTTTTTGTTTGCTTGTTTTTACCCTCCCCTGGCCCCATGAGATGTGCTCAACTTTATTCACCTTTTCAGTTTGTTTTTTGTTTGCTTGTTTTTACCCTCCCCTGGAAAATCTGAAAGGCTATGCCCACATCAGTCCGGAGCCACAAGAAGATCTACAGGAATTGTTGACAACAGCTGTATGTTTTGAACAGACCTCAGAGCAAAGATGCAGCAGGAGGGTGGTGAAAGGGGAAGACTGTTGTAAGAAGGCAAACCTTATCATCAGCCTCCCTTGAAACAGCCACTGCCCAGCACAGGGACTACAATGCAGGGCTTGGTGGGGCTTGTTTGCTGATAGAAGTTTTAATGCAGTTTCCACATCTCCTGAGGCAGGGCCTGAACTCAATCTACAGCCAATTCTGTTAGTCAGTGGTTCACACTGGTATTTTCCTCTTCACTATAAACACATATGCAAAGCTTCCAGCTGAAATAAAATTTGTATCAGTAAATAATGGCCAGGTTTTTTTTAGAATGGTGTAGGTGATTGAGTATCACCACTAAACCCCATCAAAGCAAGCACACCGATTCCATTCTTCTGAATCTTCATGCATCATCAATTTTATTTTAGGTAAAACACCTCAAAGGGAGACTGTGCACAGATCTTGTGGAGTTTGGGATCAGGAAATAACACCTGCATCTCGACAAGCAGGCCCTGCTGACCAAGACACCTTATTCATTTTCTTTATGCTGACAACAAGCAGCTTTATGCTGGGAGGTTATTTGAAAATAATAGTTTAAATCTGAGTATTTCAGTGTAAAAAGATCCAAAATGCAGATCAGTTATTTGAAAATACAGCAATTCCCCAGACCTTGTGATGCAGGAAGTCTGCTGGGCTTCTGTGAGTGAGCTGCATGGGAAGGGGTGCATCAACAGGTTTATGCATGATAAAAAAACCCCATAACTTTAAGGAAAAAACCAAAACAAAACACAAAAAGGCATGAACAGACAATCTGGAGAAATCACAAATGCAGTGGCACAGCTAATCATTAGTCCTTTTCACTCCCTGGACCAGTAATCCAAGACATTCCTTCAACGTGCTATCAGGAAAAGCAAAGCACCCCCCTGCCCCAAAAGCTTAAGTCTCCAACAATGGTTAACAACGGACAACGGGGAAATTAAACGTGTTTGACTCCCAGTGAAGAAAAGTGTGTTTCATTAAAATAGAGGCAATAAGGACTGTTTTGCTATTTGAATAATTTCAAAGTTGCTTTCGTGCTACAACCTGGGTTTTAGTTTTCAATTCCTGCTACATTAAATGCTTCCTCCCCTTTAATTTTCTTTTAAAGGGTGCATTTTAGGTCTCCTTAGCCTGCAGGAGAAAGAGCAAGCAAGTGAGAAATTATCTATCAGTACATGATTTCTAAAGGAAATAGAACAGTTTGGGGAATTTATAGGGAAAGTGACCTGGTCACTGTTCTAAGTGACTACCAAATTTCAACTTTGCTGGACAAGAATATACCATATGTTTTAATAACAAAATAAAACTCAGCTTTCACACAAAAGGCCCAAATGATTAGGAAACATCCAAAGTGAGTTATGGTTACAGTAGGAGTAGTTCAGAATTACACACAGGAAAACACATTCTTGCTTTTATTTTGGTGGAACAGAATACAATATCCTTCAGCCCAAACTATTCAAAGCTGGCAATATTACCTTTTTCTTCATGCTGCAGGACTTCAGGAAACCGAACACGGACAGGAAGGGTTAGAAGTTAATTTTCTATTTAAGGCTGTTAATTCAGCAAGATATTTAAAAATGTACTCAACTTTAAGCATGAATAGTTGCATTGACTTCAGTAAGATTATTCACATGTAGTTAAGTCAGGCAAGTGCTTAAATGGCTTGTTGAATCAAGCCATTAAATGAGAGTTGCTTTACTATACAGATTTATTTCATGGCTGACGGAGCTCATTACATGAGCCTATTTTATTCTTCCAAGGGCTAACGGCTGTTTCCTCATCAACTTTTCTGAAGGTGTAACCTGTATGCCTCCTACACTTTACTGTAGCCACAGAAACATATAATTTTCTAAGAAAAATTGTATGGAACATCTATTATATATAGTGGCTTAGCTCTCCCTTAAATAGTAACAGAAAAGAACAGTACAAAACAATAGTTTCACTTTTTCAACACACAAGAGCATCTTATTGAAAAACTAAAATAAAAAAGTATCACCACAATATAAATCCCCAAATAATAATAATGAAATGGGAAGAAAGAAAAGGAGTTAGCAAAACATCCTGTGGACTTTAAAGTCTCTTATTACTGCATTAAAAAAAAAAAAAAGCTTTTCTGGTGAACCACAATGTTTTGTTTCTCTCTGTTTACAAACCCACTAGACAGGGAACAACGGTGTCCACAACCTACGCTGGGATTAAAAGGTAAAAACATAATCTGCCTCGTCTGCAGTCCAAAAAGAGAAAGAACCCCAAAGGGCAGTCAGTGAGTGTAGGAACTGGTGAGGACACAGTTTCCCTGCGCGTGGCAGAAACTCATAAGGGGGAGCAGGGGTTATGAAAGCAGAATTCGAGTTGGAACCGTGTCGGAAAGTTCTATCTCGGAGGCCTGCAAGACATGAACTACTGAAGAAACAGTCAAAAGGTCCCAATGAAAAGCTGTGACAAGCTGTAATGTGCCATTTCAATTACAAGGATGAGGGGAAATATTTGGGGTGTGGTTTTTTTGTTGTTGTGTTTTTGTTGGGGTTTTTTGTTTTTGTTTTTTTTTGGCTCATCAATATGATGAGCTTTCACGTCCCAAACCACATTCAGGTAGTTTCCAAGTCTGCTTTTTTTGTGTGGAATCTACTGATCCAGACCAAAAAACCAAACAAACAGAACAGGGATGCACAGTTCTTAAGTCCTGGAGCCTTCAACACTGCCTGAAATAATAGCTGGCCTGGGGTATCCAGAGGTGCCTGCAAGATGGTGTTCATAGCAGCCTTGCAAGCAGATCGGCTCACATCTGCTATGTGCTGCCAACATTCTGCACGTCACCTTCATCATTAGGACCTGAAACAAACAAAGCAGTTCTTTGTCATAAGAAATATCTTTTGTTTCTTGCCTTAAAATAAGAGAACCAACCTGAGAAGCCTACAGAAGTCTCAGATTGAGGATTTCGATGATATATGAGGAACTGTGGAGTTCTCCCTCCCCCACCGTACTTCTCCAAATTAAGTTCTGCCCACTGCAGAATTTTATGTTCTTGATTGTCTGGTTTGGGGATCCCAGTAGCATCCCAGAGTCTAAAAGCTCAGTTTCCAGCCTCTTCAATCCACTCACTGCTTTTGCTTGTATTCATTCCTTCTTTTTTTATCCCTGCAGTGACTCGGGAAGGAGGACTGGTCTATCAAAGGTGATATGTTCTAGGCCATAGGAAAGCAAAGCACAGATGACTCTCGAGTCAGGAGTACAGAAGCCTTCTTCAAACTGAAGACTAGTGCTTTTTTAAATTATAGTCTCCTCATGTGCAGTGAAATTACTCTCTTTCCATGTCTCTTTGTAAACCTTCTGCTTTCCAAATAGCACTCCACACAAGGGTCAGCCTGGATCCTGCCTGCTGAAAGTCGCCCAAAACAGTTATCTCAAGTTTTAAGTGCAAGCCTTGGCCATGTTGAAGGCAAAAATGAAACTCAAGACCCTTTAAAAATTCTGTAAACAAAAGCTAGAACTTATTGAAGCACAGATAACCTCTGCTAAATGGTGACATGTAACTCAGATGGAAGCAGCACAGGGGCCTTTTTGGAGAAGTAGCAAGAAACTGTTGCATTCAAAAAGGCAATTCATGCAACGAGTCTTGTTCCACAAACACCTGTGAGAAGTGACAGGCCAGAAGTACAGCTATAATACCCCATTACAGAGCAGACAGTCTGCCTTAAAGAATGAGAGAAAAATGTATAGAAAAAAGGAAACTCCACTATCTTTCTTGCTTACCACTTCCAACTGATCCTGAAGGCGCAATGACATCGTCATCACTGTCCTCCTCATTTGATTGCGTTACCTCTGGCTCAGGGACTACATTCTTGACTTCTTGCTCTTGTTCCACTCTACTCCTCAAGGCCAAGATCCGATGGTGTAACGCAGCGTACAACTGCCCTGTATCTTTAGAGCTTGCCTACAGTTTTTTAATATTCAGAAACAAGAAAAAAGTGCAAGGAATTATAACAGAATAAAACACTGCTGTCATAATACACACCAGTCATGCCCAATTTCACAATCTACTTTTCATTTTTCTCATATAAAGTTTTCCAATCTAGGTCAGAATGAGTTGTAGCATACACAGCATGATGCCAGATATACTAAACTCTGATGGTGAGAGTACATTCCTCTCTGCTCAGCACCACCTTCCTCTGGCTAACATCACCAGTATTAGCTGATTTTATACAGCCTTCTTCACCCAGGAGTCACACAGCTTTCCTAACACCCCCCAAAAGCTTATGCTAAAAAGATCTTTAATGGAAAGGTTTGTCCTGCGTTGATTTTTCCAGGTTTGTCAATCACTCAACTTCACATATTGGTTAATCGTAATCAAATCACTTAATTGTTTCATGATGCACTGACGTAAAATCTCAACGTAAGATACAATGAGAAAATCAAAAATGGACATGCAGTCAGGCACGTGATTATTCAATTTTTTAAAAAAAAATGTTTTTCCATTCTTTTATATTGGTCAACTGTTTCACAGGAAAGAATGTGACAACCTGTCCAAGAATATATCTTCTCTACTCTAAGGTTAATGGCCACTTCATGCCTTCAAAAGAATCAATTTTTAAACCTATCGAACTAAGTATTTAGTGGACATTATTTAAAAGGGAACTCTCTTAGAACACTATGAAACACTATATCAATTAAATCCTCTTATTAACTACTGTTACCATTACCCCAAGTTAACTGTAAGGTAACTATCCCAGTTCTCAGATTCTTTAAAAAAACCTGTTTCCATCCTCCTCATCTGTCACTTAAATCTGTCACCTCTGTATCTGCAAAATTCCCCTGCAATGAGCTGTAGTGAATAAATTATTCCACACAAGATACTTTTAATCAATATTAACATCTAGAGTGAATAATCCGATCGCAGATTAACTCAAATTTTTCAAATCTACAAAAATGCTGAGAAAAAAGTTATCCATTAATTTCACTGCTTTTTGTTCACTGATGGATATTCAGTATCATTAAGTTCCACTCTGGGTCTCCAGATACCAGTCCTACAAACAGAATGTCACAAGGGAAGCTGACCAGTTGTCACTGTTCTCCTAGTTTCTGATCCATAAGAACACTTAGTTCTTCAGCAACCCCTGGTGTAGAATCAGTGCAAGTCAAAAGAAGGTGTTCAGACTTCAAGTCTAAGTGCTCTTAGCAGACATTAGACAAAGCCCTTTCTTTCTCTTGCTGTTATCACTATCTCCCAAGTGTTTAACAATTCTAACTGAGATTGCTGTTTCCCCATTTAGCAAGCACAGAAATAACTTTCTCTGTCCTGCTACTACTTGGAATACTCTATATTAAAAGAATATAAAAGTTAAAATGTGTTACCCTTAACTACTAACACAACGCTCTTGACAAATATTTAGTGTTCCAATTCCAATGTACACAGACAATGACAGCTTTCCCATGCTACAAATTCTGGTAGGTCTTAATTTCGATTAAGCTATTACACAGAAATCTATGAAATGCCTATTTCTCTTGATAGTAAAAAATGATTTGCATTAATCTTACACTAGAGTTATAGTCTCAGTAGGTGTGTAACAGATCCCATGACTCCATGGGTCAATACACTGGACAATCTGGTTTCCTAGGGCAGCCTTTTATATGGAATTGCTTCACAACTAGCAAGGCTTTTCAAGCAAAGTCTGCCAAGCTCCTTGTCTTTGGGAAGAGAGTGGTGGTAAAAAGGTAGGGTGCAAAGAAAAATGGGAACTCAACTATAACTTCACAAGCACCAATTGAAGTAGGAAGGTTAAGATGTAACCAAAGAACCATACTCACTGATATAAGAAAAACTTTAACTCCCTGGTCCTCTGTATCCATGGCGGTGATCCGGATACTCTTCTCACTGGCTTTATCAATCTGCATCTGAGCCCAGAGCTTGGTATTTAAGATTAACCTGAGACTCCCCTGAGTCCTCATCACTAAAATGAACATAGAAGATTAGTTAGGTGGAAAAAGACACAACAGGAAGCTCAAAACAGCTTTTTATTGTGTGAATGTTCAGGTCTCTTTACAACAAATATCAAGGGAAAGCCCCTAAAACAGGAATCTTGTCACAATTGCTAATGAGCAGAATGTAGGCTATTAAAGATTATCAGCCATGTCTACAGATATTTAGTCCAAAGTCTTAATACACCAAAACGGAGTGGTTGGATCTGAGCTGATAATCTCCGGCTCATGCACATTCCAGCCAGTCTGAACAATTGTGCAAAGAGACTTCCTCAGCCACAAGCACCCCGGCCTAAAAAGCAAATAGCCCAGATCTGAAGAACGTTACCATAAATTTCTAGTCAGATATTCTAGTGACTAAATACAGCTTGTTTTTATGGGGAACAAAGTAACTCGAACCTTGTTACAACAGGAGGGTATGAAAAGATGCCCTCTTTGGAGGAAATGGTCATAAATTGAAGCAAGAGAAAAGGTCCAAACTGTTTCTTAGTTGCTGTAGTTAAGACATGACTTAAATTGGATGCTGTTGTGTGTCACGGAAGTATCCTATGAAAACAGCACTGACTGTCATCCAGTACCTCATTTCCCCTGACTCCTCTTACCCAGCCGAGACTGTAATGTTCCATCATCTGTCGAGGCCATATCATTGAGTCTCAGAAGTCCTCGACCTCTTTCCACCCAAGACTGAGAGTTTTTATCAAATACAAACAGCTTGCACTGTATCTGTAAGAGAAAATATCTCTATAGCATAGTGGTTGATTGAAGTAATAATATATTTCATATTCAGTCACCTACAGCTGGTAAAAAAAAAAAATCAGATTTCAGATTGGAATTTTAAACTGTTTATAGCTGTGGAAATCCTCTTTTGTAATAAATTCATCAAAATCTGTTGGGTTTCATAAGCTTTTATTAACAGAAGCTATATATTCTTAAAGAATACTTGTGTTCAAGATCAAGTAACAAGAACAATTTTCAGATAAAGTACAAACTTCCACAGAGGAAACTTATTGTGATAAGAGACTGCGTAAGAGTCATCAATAGTCTTAAATTAGTCAATTCTTCTCAAAGTCTTAGATACACTTTGCACCACAGAGTCGTATTTGTTGCTGGGAAGACCCAGCACAACAAAAGCAAAGCAAAATTCTTCCTGTATTAAGGAAGAAAGGATGCACAAATGTTAGCCAATTCATAAAGCCTGACCCACAGAAAGTCATGAATAAACAAGAGGTATTTTTCCTGCCTTCCTGGTTCATAAGTTTAGAAAAATACACCTTTTGTACTTTCTAATGATAGGACTCCTCCTGCTTCCCATAAACACTACCTTTTTCTTGCCCTGAGAAACAGCTCTAGATCCCCCTCTCTAATCCACCTCCATTGTCAGCACTGAGGTGTCATACTTGAAACCATCACCCCTCAAGTTCCTCACACAGGTGCATGCACCAGGTGGAGACTATATTTCCATTTTCATTCCCTCACTGTCTCTCATTTTCTCCACCACAGAACACCTAGCTCCATATATTTCATTTCTGCAATATTAACATAGTTTTGTCTGTACAAATCTCCTTCAGGATTCCAGTGCATGAAATTTCGCAGAAAAAACAAAGAGTAGACCTTAGGCAAGAGGTCTGTGAAGTTACAAAACATCCATGCAGATCAGTCCTCTATTAAGTACACAACTGCTAAAAGTTATGGGTTTCCTAAGTGAAGCAGGACTTATCCCTTCAGTGTCCTGCTTGATTACATGAAGCATCCAGGAGTTTCTGAATTATACAGAAACAGACCAAAACAAGTATTTAAAGACTATTCATGTCTGGTAAAAAGAAGCCCAAGAAGACAAACATTATAGATTGTTTTGCAGGATAATACAAGTGTTACTGATACTCCTTAGTTACTGACACAGTGCATCTGTTTGGTGTCAGAATAGACAAGCTTGTCTGTAAAAGCAAAAAGTAATCCTTAAAAAATAATGCAGTTCAGGTGCTGAGAAACTTAAGATCTGAAGAAAAAACCCTATAATTAGAGAATAAAGAAAGGAGAAAAAATGTAATATACCATCTAGTTTTACATTAAAACCCTGCACATTTTCCTTAAGGACATACTGAAGTTAATAAGCATATTTAAGTTAATAAATAGCTACAATGTTAAATAAATCACGATTAAAATCAGGAAGCCTTAAGTCATGACCGAATGTCCTCCTAAAACATCACTAATTCAGTTAAGTACCTTAAGACAAATTCCTCAGTACTGTTTCATGGTTTCTGCTACACAAGGGACTAGACTGCTGGCATAATAGTACATTCTGAGCTTCAAAAAAATAAATCTTCAGAGGTACAATAATTAAAGAATTTAAAAATATTTAGTTCATTTGAATTTTCCTCAAATAATTGTTTTGGAGAACAAATGCTATTAATTCAGGAAAGTATGCTTAAGATTTGACTGGATGGTCCAAACACTAAAATTTATGCAGAAGGAGGAAATTAAGAAACAACAAAGTAAGAATCTGATAATAAATACCCAAAGTAAAGTAGAGTGGAGACAGAGGATGGCTGAGTTGTAGGGAATCAGGTGGTGGGCAGTCACTGGACATCCATCCAAATCCCCATAAACTCAAAGCTCCTCTACTTTATTGGTTTCTTACCTGCAACACGTTACTTTCAGCTTCCTCCCCAGTAATCACTTCTACCTTCGCTAATAAACACTTCCTTGCTGTTGCTTTAGTATAGGCTGCTGCAGATTCTGCCAGCGATTCTGAAATATTATTAGCTGAACAACATTTTGAAAGTTTGAGAATGATTAGTATATAATTATGTAAGATTTATAAAGGTCTCATGAGTATTTTGAGAAATAAAGTACAAAAAGACAGACATTAATAGAAACAGGACTGAAGTTAGTGTTTTAAGATTTGTTTTAAAAGCACAAAGACACAAGTGACAAGAGGTAAGTTACCAAAAACTTTTGTCCCTGCATACATTATTTCAAAACCTTTGCTAACATCCCCAGCAGTACTGGTACTGCTACCAGCTACATAGTTGTGCCAACACATGTACAGCACAATTCATTTTCCACCTGTATTTTGGCTTGTTAGCAGCTTGCTGGAGAAAACCCACAGCTCCCAAAATTTCCAGCAAATCTTGCCAATCTGAAGAGCCACAGAAATCTAGAATTCAGCAAACAGTTCTTGGTTCAAGCAACACATTTAGTGCATCTGCTCAATACAACATACATTTGACTCAGACATTCAGCCACTGGAAGTAAAATAGAATTGTTAAAAAACAGTTTGCCACATTTCTTCTACACTTTGTAGGTCCAAGTACCTGCTCTGTTAATTCCTTTTACTTTAATTCTGCTGAAGATATTCCCAATACCACAGAATGACCATGAAAAAGACAGTGTAGCCTGTCTGTGGTTAATATTAAAGACAAAAGGACAAGAGAATCTGTAACATCCAGCATGTCACCTCCCCCCCCGAGCCTCTATCTTTGGTTACAGGAGACAGCAAAGGCAACATAAAAATATTATTTTTTTATAAAGTATGGGATATTGAAAAATGCAATCATTTAAACAAGGATTAACTACCATTCCTAAAAGAATATTTTGTTTTTCACCTTTCTCTGGTGTGGCTTCCTGAGAAGATGATTCAGACCCAGACTCTGTAGCAGCATTTTCCTTATTACTCTCTGTACTGCCTTCATTCGATTTTGGTGGACTCTATCACAAAAAGAAGAGGAGGTAAACAGAAGAGAGAACACATACATTAATTTTGCAGAACAAGACTAGTGATTAATTACTGAGGGAAGTCTTAGTGTTTATAAATCACACAGCAAAAGAAGAATCCCACGGATGACATGCTTTCACAGTAAAAGCTATCCTACTACCCCTGCCAAGGAACTGAATGGAGCACGACCTGAAAACCAGTTCAAATTATTTTCTCCTGAACTGAAACCAAATTTCAACTCTTATTTTGAAGTTATGTTCAACAAAGCAAACCAAATTCAGCTACAGTTCAACTCAAAGGCACACCTGACAATCTCTTGCTTGGTGGTCAGACAGGTATGGATGCACAGCATTAAACGCTTCCCTTTTGTACCAGCATGGCAATAAACGCAACAGCAGGAACCAGTGAGGCACTACAAGTTATTCCTTCAGCTGGTACACAGTAAACAGAATTTCCTGAATTGTACCTCAATACTGAGGCATCTGCCTTACTGCTGGACTTGAAATCCCATCCCTGGGAGAGTCCTGTACCTAAACTTTTCTCAATTTGGAGGACAGCAAACATCAAACACTCACAAATACTTATACTGAAGAAGCCATTTAAAGAAGCAACCTGTGCCATGAAATGCTTGGACTTGAGAGCCATATGCACTGCAGAGAGGGCACTCAATCTCCTGACACTGGTAGAGCTTGGCAGGGCAATCCTGGAGAGCACTGCTGCCGCAGACAATAGCTCATAATGAAACCCTGACGCTACACTCAAAATCTGTTACCTACAAGGGAAACCCCTGAAAGAAAACCATGCTCCAGTGACAAATATAATTCCAGGTTCTCAAAATTCCTGACTGAGCATCCATAATGCAAGTTACTCACAAAATTACATTTCATACACAGATACTCACTAGGACTCGCTCACTCATGTTCTGTCCAAATACAAACTTGTTGCTAGACGCATCTGCACTGTTCGTAGAGTTCTCTACACTGAAAAAAAACAAACCAGGTTTTATAAGTCAGGAAAATATCTGTTTGTCTTCTACTGAAAATTCCTCAAAAAGTGAGCAACTGTCACTGGCTTTAAAAATTACGCACTGGTTGACACAAACATAAGCAGAAATTAATTCAACTTTGTAACATGAGAGCACATACTGGTTTTGCAGAATAAGAATTTTCTCAGAATGATGGCAAATTATTTTGTCATTGTAAATATCTTCCCTTTAGATATCTAATTACATACTAAGAAATGCTGAATGCCAGGTGAGGGCTTACTGTTTAATCATGACATGCTTTAAAAAACAAACAAACAAAAATCCAACAGTATTCTACATGCACAAATTTGAGCCACTACACATTTTTAGGCCAGTTTTCTCAGAAAGGGAAAGAACTGAAACAAAAACACTTGCAATATCATAACTGAAGCAAAGGTAGCAGGGATAAGCAATGCATTTTAGTAAACTAGCTACAATGGCTGCAATGCTACAGCCTCCCCAAGAAGTTTCACAATCAAATCTCAGCCCTCACATCTTCCTGATAGAGTAAGCATCCTCCTCCCACGTGGCACTTTTATTAACAAATTTTAAATCTTATTTAGGAAGGACAAAAGTTTTACTGTTTTACAGACTCAAAAACTTAACAGGTCATTGTTCATCTGCCTTCCCTTCAGATCAACTCGCTTACTAAGTGAGCATGCAGAATGCAGACCACTTGGAATCAAGCCTACGTGCATTTCACTAAGTTTGGAAAACAGGGGCACAAGTCACTACACAATTCAAGCAGCACCAAACAAACCTTTAAATTGTGCACGTAGAAGCTGCTACTTCTGAATAAGGAGATTCAAAGAACAGAAAATTCTCCAGGGAAGAAAAGTTTTGCCAACTAAGGGAATGAAATACCACAGTTCTGAGCTCCAAATGCCAACTGGGAGCTCAGTGTGACCTACTGATATCTGCCATGTGACTGTGGCACATGTTACAATTTTTACAGGACCTGGCCGTGTGTTACTCAAAGGGAGGAGTTTTCCTTTTACTGCTGACTGCCATAATGTCTTGCCATCTCAGCTAGACGCGAGAGCTGACTCCACTTAGAGACACTTTTTTTTTTTTAAGGGCAAACCCAAAACTAGGTTTCTGCCAATTGACCTACCACAAATAAATCCTCCCAAAGACTCAGCTGAAGTATGGCAGTGGATGTCATATGAGCTGAAAGATGCAAACAAGTATTCCAGTATTTGAAGCCCACATATCAGAAGTTATTGTCTGGCAAATCTGATTTATAAAATCTGACAGTGTCTTTGGAAAGGCATCGACCTGGCATCCACAGTGCCACTCTGGTGTTCTCTGCCTCTCCCGTGCATCACTGGAAAAGCTCAACGTCAAGAAGGATTAAGACTGCAAACCTGCCTAGTGCCTACTTTGTGGTGAACATCAGGGTCTTAAAAATGAAGACTATAAGGACAAGGCAAGCACAGCTTGGTGATTTTCCTACAATTATTTCACAGCCTCAAACAATCTGCAGGTCAGGCTCTTGCAGGAGCAGAGGTGTTGCTCTACTCTATTGCTCTCAGTGGGATTTTCCCCCCATGCTTTTCCAGCTATTACTCAAATTCACAGCTCTGTGTAGTAAGAAATTATAGAATCATAGAATGGTTTGGATTGGAAGGGACCTTAAAGATCATCTAGTTCCAACCCCCCTGCCAGCAGCAGGGACACCTTCCACTAGATCAGTTTGCTCAAAGCCTCATCCAGCCTGGCCTTAAACACTTCCAGGGAGGGGGCATCCACAACTTCCTTGGGCAACCTGTTCCATTATCTTCTGTCTTCTACTCTTTCTGTAATATTACTTGATTTTTTTTTTTTACCACTACTGAGCTAACATTTTCAGAGACATATCAACATCTTAGCTATAAGCAAAGGCTGTCAGTTCAGAGTTTATCAGTGTACATACAGAATTAGCAGAGTTTTCTCCTGGCTGCCTCACTTATATGTAAGTACATCAAATTTCTTCTGATGCTATCATCTAATCAGAAATTTCTCTCAAAGACCTCTCACAGGGAGGTTCCTGCTTATTCATACTGGCCCTCTATATAGCCCTGAAAAGCTTATTAGCATGAACAAATAACTTGGTTTTTTTAAACTATTCTTCCCTTTATCGGCATCATACATGAAACACGCTGAACAACAAATGCAACATAGATCTCTACAGGATCCTACTGGCAGCTCCAGTTTATTTCATCACTATTTCTTTCTAATTGTTCATGAGAAGACTTCTCTCATCTTATGCTTATTAGTTTTCTGAAGAGGTTTTGGTGAGGACCTGGTCAGGTAAATGGTGTCAAGTGCATCTCCCTTAACCAGATGATTGAGGATTCCCCCAGATCTGAAGTTGGCCACCTCATTCTTTAGAAGCCCGGGCTCCCACTGACCCACTATAAGCCCTGCATCCAATAAAGAACAGAATCACAAGGAATTTTGAACACAGAATAAGCAACACTGTCCTATAGTCTGTAGTCTCACCTGGAACTGATGTACTGTAGAAAATAATTTGTTGCAGAAGGTACGTCTGATGTAGGAAGGCCAGTGTTCTGCACATCGGCAGTTTCATCGCTTTCATCTCCTAGCTATAAAAAGAACAAGTATATATTGACAGTCTTAACAACTGATCACAAAATTTTCAGCTCCTTCTTTCCCAAGATAAAGTTCCATCCACAAACACTTTCTACAATAAAACCATCTAAGCCTGCATCCCAGTATCACACTTCCTTTTGTTACGTTAGTAAACCTGCACAAACCTGTCTTCAACAGGAGGTACCAACAATCAATTACTTGATGCACAGGTTTGAACCCAGGCTGCCTTATTTTAATTTTCTCATATTTTCTGTGAAGTCTTGGTTGCATGGGAGCATCTTAGGAACACATTTCAACTTAATCCTGACCCAAAATATAAAAGAAAACATTACATTGCACTGAGCTTTAGATGTTACCTATGACTGCAGTAGATGTGTTTACTTTTGAAAAAGCTTCTTATACTACTAAATAGTATTAATTATTTTTTTTAATCTCTGGAAGACCAGTTTTACTAAACAGGCAATCAAACTGTGTTCACAGCTTCTAACTTTGCACATATACATGGAGATTTTAAACCTGTTATATAGTGGCTTCAAAGTACTTCATAAACTGTGTGTAAAGCTCATGCCAACAAGTGATCTGTTCCACTGCTGCTTATCCTCACTTAAATATATCAACTCTTAGTCACGGTAACAGAGATGTGCTTACCTTAACTCTATCTCTTAAGTTTTGGCCAAATACAAATGCTTGCTGTGCATTTAGTTCTGCCTTCTCACAGCTGTCCTCATCCGAAGTACTGTTGGACTCTTTTTTCTGACATTCTCCTGCCTAAAGAAAAGACATTGAAAACTTTTGCCTAGGTAAATGAGTTTCTTTAAACAAAAAACACATTATGATACGGTGAGTCACACAGTCTTTTCCAATGACAAGCCAATAACATCTCCAGGGCTACAAGGCAAATACTGCAATTAAAAAAAGAAAAATCCTCTGTGGTTGTTTAGAACATCTTTCTTAACAAATCACAGAACAGTTAAGGTTCAAGGTGATCTGTAACAATCTCATGGTCCAAACCATGCTCAAAGCAGCATCAACTTCAAAATCACGCTAGGCTACCTGAAACCTTGTACAGTCATGTCTCAAAAAATCCAAGTATGGCAGCTTTACAGTTTGGTAGCCTGGTTCAATGTTCAGCTGCAATAAATATGATCATTCTGTCCTAACACCCAACTGGAATCCCCCTTCCCCACAATGGCAGCCTCTCATTTGTTTGGTAGGCACTTCCAAGTCTCATTCTCTCTTGCTACGGCCCACACTGACAGCTGAGAACTGTCAGTGGTGGGCTGTAGCAAAAGAGCAACTCAATTCCCTCTCCTCTAGTCCAAGCACAACACACTCATCTTTTTCACTATCTGATCAGACATCGTGTGCTCCAGCCACTGGTCACCTCGGTGGTTTGTAAATGTCTTTCATGTACTGACAAGCCCCAAACTATATGTGATACTCCTGATGCCACCCACCAGTGGCAAGTAAAGGGGAACAATAACTTTTCTGAACCTAATGGCTGCTGTGTTCGTAAAGCAGCCCAGTATGTTGTCTTAATCAACAAAAGGACACAACACTGCTCCTTCGTGTTCAACTTGTTCATCACTGTTGCACAGAACCTCAAGGTTCATGAGCCTTTTGTCCTGCTAAGGACTTCCTTCTGTTCTGCACCTCTGCAGCCTTCTTTCCCTTAATGTCTCTGTAACCTTTCACTGCAGCTGCCATGGCAGTTTTCCACAGCACCTGACACCGTATTTTCACCTATTATTCTCATACTATAGTTCTCATCCCATTATACTCAGAGCCTTGCACCTGCAAACCCTTATAGTGGTGTTGGAAGCAACTGCAACCAGCATGGCAATCACCCCTTCCCTCCTCTCTCCTGATTTCCTACCCTGTAGCTTTTGATTTACACCAGAAAACCCAACAATACACATGCACAAAGCCCAACAGCTGATCAGTGCACAGCAGCTGCCCCTCAAAGCATGTTTCAATCAGCATTAACAGCATCACAACCAGAAAAAAACCAAACAAGCCAAAACAGTAGGAAGTTTGAGCATACCCTGATGAAAACATCATTACTATAGGAAGAGTATTATGGGGTACCGCCTGCTCCACTGGAGAGGATGCCCAGGTGGAAGTGCCTGTCTAGGGAGCCCCTGTCACTTGTCTTCCTGGCTGGCCCATGGGAAGTTTTCTCTTTTCTTTCCCCTTTTGCTCTCCCCTCCTCCAAAATAAAGTAACTGTCACCCTTAGCAGTAATACTGTCAACTACAGACCCTGCTAATAAAGACTGTATATGAAAACTTGTCTCAACATCCTTCAGGTAACACCAGGACCTCCAAGCACTTGTCTGCATAGCTGCTTTCTAGCCAGTCACTCTTCAGTCCTCGTGACATGGGTTATCTCACTCCAGGTACAATTTACTTTTTGCTACTTAATTACAGCAGTAGTCTTTCACTAAACCTTAAAAAGCCACTGAAGTCATTCTACGTAGATATTCAGATTTCAAAACTGAGACTTGAATTTCAAGTAAACTTTTGCAGTCTCTTGCATTGTTAACAATACTACTTCTATGCTCAACACAGCATCAAAAAGCAACCTACTGTCTAATGGAGCTACTAAAAAACCTCCCAACCTAAAACCACACCCAAAACCCACACACCCTCAAAATCCCCAAACATCTTCCTCATGCTCTCAGTCAATATGTCTTAGGATGCCAACAGTCACCTTAATACCTGCAGGAAGGAAATGGCTGGACTCATTTTGCACAGAATAGGGAAGACACTATTTCATTACTTTCCTTTCAAGATACTGAATAAACAACTTTTATTGTTTTTTAAGTGCAACTTTAATGCACTTAAATCCCTTTTCCTCCAGCTGAAGCTTTTCAGCCCCTCATTACCTGCACTCTCCCTCCACCATTTCCTGCAGGGAATGTATTTACTGCCTCTGAGTTTTTACCCACTATCAGCTTCTGTCTCTAAGCTCCTTTATGTGTTACCCATTCACTTCAGGTGCCTGTATGCTTTCCATCCTCACATTTCCCAACACCATTCCACATTCAGTTGTTAGAAATCAGGACACCACCAGTAAAGCCATCATCCATGGAATGGGGATCATTTTTTCCTAGGCAGCCTGAGAAGGAAGACTAAACACATGCAACAAACTGCTCAGTTCACCCAGCTCAAAACCAAAGCCTTTTCAGATAGGAGAGGGAATTCAATACATGCTTCCTAGTCTCTGGCCTGACAGGAGCACCAGTCAGATTTGGTGACAGCCACTGGAGGAGACAACTTCTTTTCCCCCCCCTCATAGAAGACAATTCCCTACTCTCCTGACCCACTCCCAACACACAGTGTGAGAGAGAAGCCTGCAGGAGGAAGATTTATTTCTTCACGCAACCTCATCAGATCAAAAAGCAGTATTTTGACTATCAGTCCACTGAACAGAGACATCCAAATTACAGGAATTTAATGTTTATAGTAGGAATGGCATCACTCACACAGCAGTAAGATTTTACAGCAAGACTAGAAATAAAGTTAGAAGGACTAAAAGGAACCAGTGAGAGTAGTAGCAGAACTGAGCAATTTTTATATATATTTTGTGAGGGTAAATAGGTATGAAAAACCATCCTAAGTTGTAGATTCAGTATATCTTTGTAACAGTTCTTGAGTTAAAGATAAACAGAGAATACTATTGGGACAGTATAAAATCTACCACAACACCTGAAGTGTCCTACCACAGTATGGACAGCTAAGGGGGCTATCACTGATCAAACTGCACTCACATTACTAAACAAACAGACTCTGTTCAGAGAATACTATTTTAAAGTTTGTCACCTTAAGTGTCCTTCCAGTCCTTCCCCAACTCACCTTGTCTTCAGAGTCAGAACTTTTCAGTGTTGCATTACTTAGCGATTCCGATGTGGCTGCAGAATCTGGTGGGATATTTACACCATTGGTGCCACTGCTGAGAACTGTGATAAGGAATGAGAATGACATAAGTTCTCTAGGTATTTAGATTGTTCTAAAAGTAGTAAGTTTTCTACAGCAAACTGCATGCTGTTTTCTTGTTTAAGTCCATGAAGCATTGCAATGTAAACTACAGAGTTCCCACAGTATTTTGCAAGAGACAGGAGGACCACAATTCAGCAATTCTTAGCAGAATCAAAATTCCAAATGCAGAAAATCAAGTCATCAAAAAGTCACTTATTCTATACAAACATTGCAGGGACTTCAACACATACAACTTCAAGCAACCACCCTGCTCCAATCTAATCCTGCTCACAGCCCGTAGGGCTTCTCTTTGGACTGATCTTACACACTGAACTCCCTCTGAAAATTTGTACGCCAATATTAAGCCCTCTGTAAAGTCCAATCTGTGCCAACAGGCATGCCAAGAAATCAAGCTAGAAATATTTGGTTCTATGCAAGATTCAGCATTAACTGAGGTTACCTCTGTTTCAGTTCAACTGAACTTCCAAATAACAAGAGGTGAGAGGCTGGGGAAACATAGCAGTTTAGGAGACATGGACACCTTGAACAGTTTTTTTGTTTTAACTTCCAATTTTCAGTCATGTCTGTTTCTATTAGTGATACCAAATTCTGTAACAATACAAGAAGCATAATATACATGACCTAACTCAGAATTAAGTGTATCTCAAAGTCTCAACTCCAAAATGGTCCCCAAGCCTAGAGGCAGCTCCTAGTGATTCAGGCATTTGACATCCCTGTGCAGCTAGCTGAGTCTACCACTACTGTTCAACTGCTCAGCAGGAGCTTATTACACCACGGTCAATGCTGTCATTTGAGATTGCCAATCCACACCCTTCAAAGTCTGTTTATTCCAAAAACTAAGATGGACTACAGCTGGACTACAGCAAGGCTGGAGGCCTGGCAATGTCAGACAGTCACCCTACACAAAAACTGAAGGTTCGACTGCGTTATGCCTCACAGACACACTTAACATTTAAGATATTCCTTATCTGAAAGGAGAAACCTAGAAAAAAAGGTGGATGCTGAGTAAAAACAAACCACTACATTACACAGGTATTTTATTTTTGTTGTCCCTCCATGATATTCTAGAAAGCAAAAGTATTATTTACCCATCTGTGAGAAAGCTTTTGGCTGTGGCGCCTGTAATACTGCTGGACGTAGCACACTTCGCTGCTGTTCCTTCGGTTTCTGGCTAGGGAGACCTGCAAGCACAAAGTTTTTTCAAAAGTTATAAAGGTTTGAAGTTGAAAAATTCAACCTCTTCATCTTCTCTGTAACTGCTTCCAACAGAACATACAATGGAAAACCAGACATTTTAAATGCTTCCACCCTCTTCTTTCCCATCCCTCACAGCTTCAAAATAGAATTAGTCACAAATAGAGAAGACAATCTCCTAGCCTTAAAATGCTCCTTTAAAATATATTCTCTACCTTATCCAGGAAAGCATAGAAGGAGAGTTTATGACAATGAACTCTGAAATAAAAGTCAAAATGTAAGAGAAATGAACAGTACACAAGCAATCCTATATTCAGACATTTTATTCAACTACAGATTCCAAGTTTTCTTTCTCCTTCCAGTGAAGTCATTTCCAGATAAAAATACAATCAAATGTATTGATAGTGTAATAATCTTACACGCTGTTTCGTTTAACAACCTTCTGGCTTTTTGAATTAACCTAGCCTCCTTGCTTTGCTATAGTAAGATACACAGCACAACAACTCTCTAATTCTGCTCTGATTCAAAAAGCCAACTAGCCTTAAACCATGTAATTAAGAAAAATCCCATCTGAACATCGACTCTGGAAGGCTATGGCAATCCCAGAGGGTTTGGTTTTCTTCACTGAACAAAATAAACTCTTGATCCAGTAAAATACTGCAACAGAAGTTACTCATAGCAACTCAGATGAATATTTTGCAACTAGTTCAGGCCACCCATACTCAAAGGACATGACAACCACCGAACGTAACACCTATCTTAAGTTCAAAGGTTCAGGTCAGCTCAAAAAAACTTTTTTTTTTTTTTTTAAATTTACTACTCTTCCAGCAAACAAAATAAACAACTTCCATATATAGATAACAAATAATAACTTCCATTACCAAAATAGTTTTGTTTTTTTCTCCAACTGCAAAGGAGCTGTAATATTAAACGTCTTTCCCACACTGGTTAGGTCTACATCAGCAAACAGGAAACTCAAGAGTCAAACCATACAGCCAAGCTGTAGAGCAGCACAGGCAGGATCAAGGACCCAACATCCACACTACCATCAAAAGCCAAGGGAGAGAAGGGAGTGGGGAGTGAACAACATTTCAGACTCGGCTCCAGCCTGGTCCCAGACTGAGTGCTCATTCACGGCTGGAACTCAGTCAGTGCACTCCTGGAGCACCCCTTTTGTTCCTGTTTGCTACCAAAGGAACTGAGTTCATGGAGTCTACAACTACTGTAAGAACTGAATCAAAGCATGCTAAGCAGAGACAACTGGGAGATACATTTCAGAAACACATGACAGATCCAAGCCAAAATTTGGATGTGTCTGTACACATCACACAGTGGATACGGGCATAACCTCTCTGGAGATACAAGATTTTTTCCTGCATAAACACAGGTATTGCCACCTTCCAGTTACAACAGTAGTTTGAGGAAACTCCTAAATAAATAAAATGTGCTGGTTTCTTTGTACTGCTGCAGAAAACACTAAACTCACCTGCACTAGGTGCCTGACCATGGATAAGTATTGGTGGCTTCAGCCGGAATCCACTGCTCTTTTCCTCTAGAAGCAAAACACAAAGTTACAAGGACATAGCTGGAACACACTACCTACGTTCATTCAGTCAGAAAATTCTTCATGCTTTCCCCACTGTAACAACCCACAAGTTTTAAATATCCAAAGTCACAAAAGGAGATTTCCAAAGAACAAATTCCCTTTTCCCAGAAGTCTGAATTTCCAGTGATCATCACAGCAAATATACAAAGGCAGAAACACAAGTTGTTGCAAGAGAAAAAAAAATAAATTGGAGAAACATGAAAGACCATTTTCACAACAGAGATGGAGTTCCTTCTGTGAAGGACTTAATAGAGGTTTTAAGTGAGAATCTAACTAAAGAAAGGACAATCAAAAGTACAACTGAACATGACAGCTGCTATCAAGCACCCAACTGTTAATTATCATAAATTAAATTGCTTAATATTAGTTCCTTGTAATTCCATTAGTTGTTATCTTATGCTTTCATAATACAAAGGTAAAAGAAACTCCTTTGCTTGTACTCATTACAGTTAAGGCTTTTAGATAAAATACCAAAATATCAAAAAATAATATTCACAAATCCACAGCTATTACAAATTGAGATCCTAAGAACTTAGAAGGTAAGATTCTAAAATGTTTCCTTTTAGAAGCATAATGGCCATGCTCAAAATAAGACAACTTGGCACTTTACCATCCTACTGTACTTCATAATTCTCAGGCCATTTAAGCATTAGAGAACAATGTGCTATACAGCGATACCAACACAACCAAACCACAAAACAAGGGTGGTTAACAAAATAAGTGGTACTGTCAACAGTAGGTCCACAGGTCATGGTTGAAAATCATCATGACCACAGATTGTGGTTGATTTGATTTTCAATATCAAAAAAAGAGTATCCAAAGTAGAGAAATGAAAACTTCCCTTAAGTTTCATCTTGATCTGAACAGGTGGGCAGAGTCATACCACAATCTTCCACCACCACTCCCAAAGCATTTAAGAATTTTTATATTTGTTATTTTAATTTCCTCCAGCATGCATGAAATCAAGCAATGAAGTGAGCAAGAGTACAGCTGTAAGATCAGAACCATCACCACTTCCATTCTCCTAGTTAAGAGTCTTATTTCTGAAGTATCAGAGTAGTTTGGAGTGCAACAGATGGACATCAGTTTGCTGAGAAAAAGCAGAAAAATGAGGAAGCCCACCTGGTTCTGAGTCAGAATTGCCTGTGGAGGGTTCACAGAAGCTTGATGGCATAAAGACGTTGTTCTTTGTTACTGCAGTCAAGGAAAAAGAAAAATAAAGTTGTGCATATTGTTCTTAATTACAAACTCCGTTCCCAGACATATAGAGGCTGCAAACTGAAAATAATTTTTCTAGTTGTTTTATTTTAGGTTTTTCTTTCTTCTAAACTAAAACAGTATTATAACCAGAGAAGTAAACATGACATTGTCCATAAAAACCCCTTAGTTTATCCTGAAACACAGAAAGAGCAAAGTTCAATTACTCTGGAGGGAAGATAAACACAGGATTCTCAGTGTGAATTTTATCTGAACTAGGAATTAAAAGTGATGTTAGAACATACAATATCATTATAAAATATAAATAATATTTATTTATTTCTGCAGAGAGAACAGAAACAAGTGTTAATGCCAGCTAAATAGCAGAAGCCAACACCTGGGCTCCTCAAAAAGGCTTAAGAGTGACAGCACAGTTTGCACTAAGAGTTCAGCACCTTACATTTGAACTGTCCTGCAAGGACAAAATTTCTACAGAAACAGAGGAGAGCACTTCATAATATTTGCAGGTGTCACACAGGAGCATAACAGTCAACAAAAGAGCACAAAATGTTTGAAAGGAACAGACAAAGGACAGTGTTTCTTTTCCATCCTTTGCTGGGACATAGAGAAGTAATGAGTTTGGTCAAGGCCCTGCTCAGTAGTTGAATTATTTTTAGTTTTGTATAAAGAAACACAGACAACGCAGTTTATGACATGATGATCAGAGGAGGCAGATGTATCAAGAGTCACAAGGCAACGATAGTAGGCTGTGGTTTTTTTATCTTCAACAGATCATCTAGCATGAGGTGAAGTATGACAATATTTACCAGCTCTTTTAGCTATTATGAGGCTGTAGGAAAAGCTTAAGTATGTTGAAAGGAGAAAGGAAGCCCATCTCTGAACACCGTTATACTAAAAGATACAGCACTTGCCTTTTGCACTTAAGTTTCAGATTTATTTTTTTTTCCCCTTTCTTCTTTCTTTTAATCCCATATTCTCTCTTTTTTATTATGGTCTGCCTTAATCTTAAAGATGATGCAGGTTTCATATACGCAAAATTTCCCTACCCTTGAAAGAAACATAACCACACAAAAAATTTGAAAGGTTTGTAAAGTCAAAGATTTCACAATGACCAAGGTCATCGAATACCATCAGCAATATTCAAAGCTGCCTTTATGGAAGTTGCAATTCCAATCAAAACTGTCACTGTTTGACACCACCACACATCTGAAGAGAACAAAGGAGTCAAACAGGGAATAAATAACCATATCCAGTCAAAATGCATCAGCCAAGCAGATGTTTGAGAAAGTATGCTGGACTCCTGAAACATCCAGTGCTTAACCACAAAATAGCCAAATAAATTGTTTTCCTCCACTTCTTAAAAAAATGTTAGCATTAAGCAAAGTCTGAGATATTGAGAGTCTAATCTCAAAAAGTAAAGGAATTACAGACTGGGAGAGTTAGAGATTATAATGAACCTAGGAATATAAAGTCCACTAAATAAGGAAGTTCCCAACAGGTTAAACAGATTCTGTTTTCCTAACAGAAAATCTACAGACAAAAAAGCCCCATTTGTTATTTTTGTGCAGTGTTCTTTTACCAGGAGTGATCAGCCAGCAGCAACACTGGTCCCCTGAACTGTACTCGATTAACAGGACTGTACCTGGAAACCTCCTAAGCTGCACACCAGAAAAATCCAGCTCTTAAGAAGGGGATCTTCCTCTGACTAGCACTGGTGGCATGAAATGATACTGTGCCTATAAAATATCAGCAACTGCATTTTAAATTCCACAGTCACTTATTTCTTTAAATTAAAAGCAAAATAACTATGTTTTCATCTTTTAGTCACATTTCCCAAGTGTACTGTACGTTAGAGGAATATTTTGTACTGTTCTCTCTTTTACTGATTTTCTCATTCCCTTAATTTCAACTAAAATGATGACAAAGGAGCAGAATCTCCCAATCTGCTCCAAACATTGACAGATCTGAACTAAAGTAATTCTCAATCAAAGCTAAAAACTTCCTATTGTCTGTGGGCATAAATTTTAGAGACCATTCCTGTAGGTGAACACAAATATCAAACATGACCATTCCCATGTATGCGAATGGCAAGAATTTACCCCTGGCCCTCCCAGTGATTTTGCTGCCTTGGCTGTACACACAAACAGGCAGTGCTCGCTCTCTCTTGCATTTGCCAGGTGAGAATGTTGCTGAAATGCACTGAATCCTCTCTACCTTAAGAGGAATGGGAGAAAGGGAAAGGACTAAAACAACCTAAGCACAACTGGAGACTTGGAAGATTTGCCTGGCAGCAGAGTAACTAAGAAAAAGAAAAAGGTAGTATTTATATAAATTTAAGAATTGACCTGATCACAACAAATAAAAAAAAATATTTCTGGTAAATTCTTCAATTTAAGATTAAAAGCTGAAACTACAACTATATATATAAACTTATGAATAGAAAATATTTTTAAAAACACATCTGTCAATTCCTTTGGGCTTCACTGAATTTGCTAACACCAGAGAAAGTCAGAGGATACAGTTGCTGTGGTCTTAAGCCAAAGCACAGCAGACAGTAGTAAGACTGCTGACATGACTGGAAAGAAGATATTCTAAGAAGGAAACCCACCTCTTGTAGAATGTAACAACACTTACCTGACTGAGGAGGGAACTGAGTTAAAGATGAAGTTCTCTCACGCTTTACAGGTGGACAGTAGTTTCCATCCTCTCGATCAGATTCTGTAGGAAAAAAAAAAGCAATTAGAAAAAAAGCACAAAATCCTGGACAGACATACTCATGTTTTTTAATCTTACAATCAAATCTCTTACCATCTCCATCTTCTGGACTTGATCCATCTGCTGATCTCTGAAATCAGATGACAGTGATAAAATAAAAATCACATAATGAACATTTCAGTCTCTTTGGATGCATCTAAATGCTTTAATCATCAGTTTGGACATTTTTTCTTTCCTGTCAGTGATGTACACTCAAGGTAAAGCATGTTTTTATGACTTACATGTAGACAAATTGAGTCTCACTCAGACACTATTAAATAAAATAAATTCAAAATACTCCATTTACAAATAAGATACCTGAAAATTCATACCCAAGCACTAGCATCCTTAGAGACTACATAACAATTATGCCAGTTGTATTTTCTATATACTGAAAAAGATTATTTTCAAGTTTGGTTTGATTTTAGAAAAATCATAGGACTTCCAGGCTTAACATGAACATTATTTGGGAGTTCATTCCAAAACACTTTTCCTAATTAATGTAACTGACATCATTTCCTTCAACAGGAGGACACTGTTGGAGGAACAGCTTTCAAAGCGTGCTCTATAACCAGTACTGTGATTTTTATTTTTTTTATTTTTTAACGAATTAGCAACAGATAGTGACCCAGCATCTTCCACAGGAACTGGAACAAAACAGGAGGCTACCAACTATCACAATATTCAAGAAGTCTTTGAACAAAGGTTTCACATCTTTTCTGAGGATTTCTAGGTCTCTCTCCTCCTACTTGCTCTGCCAGTTCCTCAGCTGATATAACATCCCTTATTCCTGCAAAACACAATCCCACGATGAATTCCTTTCGCTATGGAAGGTGACCAGGGCAGCATTAGCACCTTCAGTTCATTACAAAACCTCTTGACATACTGAACCTAGTCCAACACTGTCCTTTCCTCCTGCTCCTGCCCCAGGACACACAGACAGACATCTCCCTGCCCTTCACAGAGCTTGGCTGACACGGGCAGAATCCACAGCAGCCCAAGAGCTCGTCCTTGCCCACGGCAACTAGTCACACTTTGGCACGGAGAACAGACACATAAGGATGGGGCAACACACAATGGCACTGCACGGGACTATCACCTGAAAGACAGAGCTTGGGTATAAGAACACCAGAAAGTACAAAACTTTATTTATCACTGCATGTATTTAGAATCTAGATATTACTGTACTGTCAGTATTTCACTCAGTGCTAATAAAAACTCATTTACACTGTACTTTGCCTACACAATTAAGTTTAAGGGGTTTTCTGTTTTGTTTTACATTAATAGAAAAGTAAAGCTACCTCGCTAGCATCCTAGTCAAGTACTTTTGAAACCTTTAGCACAGGGAATGAAAAGCTATTGATGGTTCTGGAACAAAACTACCCACAATCCACACATATCCATCAGCCCAATTGCAACAATACTGGATTTGATGATCCATGTTCTCCCTTCATAACTGGTCAAGTACTCCACACTACTGGAAGATGATCTTATTAGGCATCTCCCTTGCCAACATACACTAGTTTCCCAAAAGACAAGACTAAAGCAGAAAACCATGATGTTATCTATTCATTTCAGTCAACAGCTGAAGTCAGAAAAAAATCTGTATTGCACAGAAAGTGTTGTCACATATACCAGCAATTTGTTTCAATTTTTAGCAAAAATCCTAAAAGCAAAAAGGAAACCATATGGTAAAAAATTTGCATGAATGGAACTGTAGATCTCTATGTGCAAAAATCCTTAAAAATCAAGAAGTTATTTCCCTCTGAATTCCAAAAGCTTCTCAGTCTGTTACTAATATGTACTGTACTCTCAATGCTCGAGTAACACAGACAAAAAAAAGCCAAACTTGTATAGCATAAGCTTGAAATTATCTTATTATTGTTATTACATTAACTGATGGAAGCACAACTAAATATACCATCACTACATTTAGTGGGCAAGGAGCATCCATATCCAAAACCAACCCTGTAACCTACCGAGGAAAAAGCAGAGCTAAGTATCCAGTCTCTCTAAATTATTTCCATGCTTCCTAGTCCAAGAGTTTTAGGAGATTAAAGCTATGCAAGAGTCCACATGACAAGTCCTACAGCAGTTACTGACACTGGCAACCCTAAGCAAAGTGAACACTGCACAGAATTAAGAAAGGACTTCCCTTTCTCTCAAAGGCATTTTTTCTTACACAGGCATCTACATGATCCAGATCCTTTGGTACGCTGTCTCCCATCCCCACACTGCTCACAGTCAGTTATTGTAGATCCTTTGGTACGCTGCCTCCCATCCCCACCCATCCCCACACTGCTCACAGTCAGTTATTGCTTGGGGAAGCTGGGACAGAGCTCAAAAATAACTCCTACCAGAAAAATCCAACAACAGTTTTAAATCTTTCATAGACTCAGGAATTTAAAAGCCAAGGAAGAAAAAAAAGTTCTAATCCCTTAAGTCGATCCCCAAGCAGAGCCAGGCCAAAGAACCTACTTTCCATCTACCTCAGTACTGAAACTCCTGCCTGAGCATTTAAGGTGCCCAGGTTCAATTTTTTGGTCTCAAATGAATGAGAACATGCCTGAGTTACTCTACTGCAGAGTTACCAGCACTACTGGGAACTGCTTTTTCATAGAATCATAGAATGGTTTGGATTGGAAGGGACCTTAAAGCTCATCCAGTCCCAACCCCCCTGCCAGCAGCAGGGACACCTTCCACTAGACCAGGTTGCTCAAAGCCTCATCCAACCTGGCCGAGAACACTTCCAGGGAGGAGCAGCCACAGCTTCTCTGGCCAACCTGTTCCAGTGTCTCACCACCCTCACAGTGAAGAATTTCTTCCTAATATCTAATCTAAACCTCCTCTCTTTCAGCTTAAAGCCATTTCCCCTTGTTCTGTCGTTAATTGCCCTTATGAAAAGTACCTCCCTAGCTTTCTTGTAGGCCCCCTTTTTAATTTTATTATACTCAGCATCCAGTGACACACACACACCACTCTGTTTCCTTGCTTTTATTAAAAAACTGGCTGTCAATATGCACTCCTCATTACCTGGGAACCTATCAGGTCTCCTCAGCCTTGGAGAAATATAAAGTTGTTTTGGTTTTTTTTCACTGTAATAATCTTCTACCAATGACCAATTCACTCTCACAGATCTTGAAAATATTCCTAAATCCTTAATCATTAGAAGAAAGGCTTTCAAGAAAATAAAGCTCTATGCAAATGACCTAATGAAACCCGATTTCCCACAGACTCTACCCAGGTGACAGACAATGTGGAATAATCTGCAGCGAGAAGTCAAATGCTTGAGATTGTGAAATGTTTCCTCTCCTCTCTGGTCTGCCTCTAACCACTGACCGCAGAGGAATCCAGAGCCAAGATCTCCATCTCTCAGCACCTGCGGACAACCTGACAGAGTTTAAGGTAGATGGCACAGGGTGTGGGGGTGCACAGATTTACTGTGTTAGCATTAAGCTTCATTTTCTTGTGAAGCTGTACTATAAAGTTACTGCTGCAGCCAGAGTTGCTTACTAGGGTTCCTTATTCAGGAGAAGCTGAGGAGACTAGTCAAAAATAGGGGGAATATTCACATGACAAACAGTTTACTTGACAGACTGGAAAAAACATCAGATATTGATGATTATTAGTGATAATTAGTGTTTATTAATGATAATAAACAGCAGGCCAGCCTTTCCATTTCAGGTCTCTCTTTCCAGGTTACTCAATCTGTACCTTACAGCAATACCTGTTTTACACGTGTACTACACAACAGAAACGAAAGCCAGGACCATCTCCTCCTATAAGGAACTACTAAGGTGACTCAACTTCTCTCCACTCAGTTCTTTGGAATTAGAAGCTGAAGAGACATTTAAACAGTAATATCAAAATCCAACCTACAATATACTCCTCATTTAAGAGCAGAAGCCCCCTTTCACTTACTCCCTCCTCCCTCTACTTTTAGAAATCCAGCTACACTAAAGTTAGAATTATTTCCTAGAGGCTCCTACAATTCTGACACATTTCTAATTAATCAAATTATCCTTTTAAAGGCTACCAACTGCTTTTTAAAAGTGCAAATGGAAGTAATTAACCATCCCATACTGAAGGACAAACATTGCTGCTTTACATCCATTACTTCCTCACACAGTTGTTACAATAATCTGAGAATTTCAAGGAATTTTTTTGTTTTTATCAACAATAATGAGCAGAAAAAGTCAAGGGAGAATTCAGGTAAGGTCAATGTAATTAGGCAAAATCTGTAAGAGTACTCTTATAGAGTTTATCTTTGTATTCTTATAGTGTTTATCTTTGAAAAATATATTTAAGATGCAAGAAGTCTTACATAAAAGGACTTCAGAGCATGGTACAGCAAGTCTGCAATCCAGACACGCTGCACACACACAAGCATTACTGAACTGCCTGGCTGTTGCTTAAAACCTGTTCCAGAACCTCCTGAACAATGAGATCCTGCTGGCAGGGCTACAGCTGCTGTAGGTTGGCTGGGGTCAGACAGCTGGAAGCCAAGACATCATCACCAGCTCTGCAGGAGGCCACATCTCTGGCCACACCGTGTTAATGTCTTTGCAAAAATATCTGCCTGTGTGAGTACAAACAACACTGGGTAAACAAGAAATACACAGTGTCTCTTCTTCAGAACTCAGTCTTAATTCATCTGTCTTCCCAAGGTCCAGGGAAGATTACAGGAAACTTTCTGCTCCAGCAAACCAGTACGAGCACTCTGAAGATGCACTGACCTTCACATATTTCAGGGAAAGGGAAAGAGACAGTTTTACTCCGAGAAAATGGGATAATTTGAAGAATGCTTGCCAGTGCATAGGACAGTCAGGGAGATGCCTGTACTGACCACTGTACTATTCCTTAAATTTAAGTGAATGGAGTACCAGGATTCATAGATATCTGCTGTGTAGAGCCAAGAATTCCCACACACACTCCCCAACAGCATTTTTGGTTTTAAATTTCTTTCATACCTGCGTTAACTGAGGTAAGATTTTCTGCTCTTTAAGAACAAGTCTAAGATAATGACCACTTGGTTAATACAGTTCTCTTGGCCAGTTCTAGTAATACTGGCAATTGCAAATGATAGAAAAATAACACAAAAGTCTGTGACTATATTTGCCAGCTATATTTTAAAATATTAACTCTTGAAAACTTTAACTTTAAAAAAAAAATTGAAATAGAAGAACTTCTGCAGCAGGAAATCAAGCAACAGCCTGGACATCAAAAAGCACTTAACCTACAGCTGTTTGTACCTTGCCATGACAATCCATTGGCACCAGGTTTACTTTAAATGGCCCATTCTTGGAAAAAAAAACAACCAAACAAAAAAAACCCCAACAAAAAAACCCCACCAACAAACAAAAGCCTAGTGCAGGTATTGAGTGGAGCAGCCTTAACAGGCAAAGATCTATCAAAGAGTACATGCTTAGTGTGTGTGTGTGTGGTCACAATCATGGAACAGAATCATGGAATGTTGTGAGCTGGAAGGGACCCACAAGGATCACTGAGTCCAACTCCTGTCCCTGCACAGGACAATCCCAACATTCACACCATGTCCCTGAGGGCCTTGGCCAAATGCTGCTGGAATCTTGTCAGGCTTGGTGCCATGAGCACAATGAGCGGTGACACTCACCTGCACCAAGAAAACATGGTCCACCAACCACAAAGAGTAGGAACACTTAAAATTGCTCTGAAAGACTGTATGGTTGCAGTCATTTAGCCATCTTATCTTTCCAGAAATTTTGCTGCACTACTAGTAGAAAAATCTTAAGTTAACAGCACCAACAGCTTCTCTTACCTCAAGGTACCCCCTGCCCCAAGTAGCTAAATTCAAAATTCTACTTTAGCATCTTTCTTGCTGCTTTTTAGCTAAGTACATTACAGGCTGGCATGACAAGCTCCTGTTTCTATCCAGTGGAAATACAGCATTACATGCTCACTTTGTCAAGCAGCAGTATTACAGCTCAGAGAGAATAAACAATCCTTCTCTAACTGCTTGAAGCAAATCCCTCATATATACCCAATTCCTCACTCTTTTAGAGGAGCTCTTACCTTTAGGAAACACACAGTTTGCATCCTAAATTTTAAAATTAATACTTGATGTGTCTTCTATAATTACACCCATTAGGGAGTCCCAAACAAATTTCATTTGGAAATATGAACAACGACTTAAAGGAGACTAAAACTTGAGATCAAAGAACCAGGCAGAGTGAGCTGCACTACCTGAAGTTCATCAAATCATAGAATGGTTTCGGTTGGAAGGGACCTTAAAGCTCATCCAGTCCCAACCCCCCTGCCAGCAGCAGGGACACCTTCCACTAGACCAGGTTGCTCAAAGCCTCATCCAACCTGGCCAAGAACACTTCCAGGGAGGAGCAGCCACAGCTTCTCTGGCCAACCTGGGACACTATCTCACCACCCTTACACCAAAGAATTTCTTCCTCACATCTCATCTCCATCTCCCCTCTGCCACTTTCAAGCCATCACCCCTTGTTGTGTCACTCCCTGCCCTTGGCCAAAGTCCCTCCCCAGCCTTCCTGGAGCCCCTTTAGGTACTGGGAGGCTACTAGAAGGTCTCCCTGGAGCCTTCTCTTCTCCAGGCTGAACAGCCCCAACTCTCTCAGCCTCTCCTCACAGCAGAGCTGCTCCAGCCCTCGCATCATCCTCGTGGCCTCCTCTGGACTCATTCTAACAGGTCCATGTCTTTTTTGTGTTTGGGGCTCCAGAACTGGACACAGTACTCCAGATGGGGCCTTATGAGAGTGGAGTAGAGTGGGAGAATCCCCTCCCTCCACCTGCTGCCCACGCTGCTCTGGGTGCAGCCCAGGACACGGTTATTGGCCTCTGTGCTGCGAGCGCAGGTTGCTGGCTCATGCTGAGCTTTCATCCACCAGAACCCCCAATTCCTTCCCTTCAGAGCTGGCCTCAATTATTAACAGTAACAGATCTCTTCTAGTGGAAGGGACTGTTTTTCTTTAATCCCCTCAGCAGAAGTACTTGGTAGGTTCACACTTACCCCTGCCAGTTGAATAGGAGCAAGCTGGGCTTCAGAAGCGGGACTCAGGGTAGCACTGACTGAGGCAACAGCGGGAGCAGGGTGCTCAGAGTCGCGCTCACCAGCTGATTCTCTGTGACCCAGAGCATGGTGGGGGGGCTCAACCTCTCCCTGGGGGTCCTCGCCTGAATCCGACAAACCTTTTTGCTCTGCAAGGGACTGGGAGCAGAAAAGACAACGTCCCTTCAATGCAAGGCTGCAACATGAGAGAGCAGTCGTCCTAGAGAGAGGATCTGCTAATCCCTTTTTAAATTCCACCGTTTCCACAGTACGGCAGAAGGAGCTGCTTGCTGCTGAGACACCAGTTAAATAAGCACAAACCAGGTAACAGAACCTGCTGGCTGAATCAGCTTCCCCTCCCCACAAAAAGCATCAGTTGGAGCAAATGCACTTTTTTTGGAAAGTTCGCTAAAAATGCCAGTGTCCCCAGCAAAAGAGCAATTTGTCAGCCACAGGGTTGTTGGGGTTTAACTCCTCCTTCTCTCAAGGCCTAAAGGACAGCTGATTGCTTTTACCTCTGGATTCAGACATAAGAATTAAACGGACCACCACCGTAAATAACTGTCCTTCACTGCTGCTTCAGACCACACCTGGGGGAGGTGGGGCTGATAATGAAATTCTCCACGGAAATTCATCATTATAACATTCACCCAAGACACACAGTCCTTTCCTGTTCACGTGATGGTGCATTATCTGCAAAGCAACACTAATGTTCGCTTTTGTACATTAAAAAGTTTAAATATCGGTTTCAAGGAGGGAGGTGGTAGGATAACCAGTGCACGCTAAGGGGATTTGCTAACTTCTGCCACAGACTCTTTCTATTTCTTCAGATCATTTAATGCTGCAGGTCCCCACTTGTAGAACAAAAATTAAGCATGACCATATTCTGCAAATGTCTGAAGAATGAAAAAGGCTTTGAGCCTGAACAACTATACTGTGATAAAGGACTAAACGACAGTCCATGGATAATATGCAGGCCAAGGACATCCTCCCAGCTACGTTCTGTGGGTCTCCTGGTGTCTTATGGTGAAGTATCTGGAGAATCAACCATTAGGCAAAGATGTCACTCAGAAACATGTTACTGTGGCTTGCTCTCAGAAAGCATTCAGCAGAATGAAGAGAGACTAAAAGTGCTCATCATTGCCCATGTCCATGCAAAACACTAAACAGCGAACTCAAAAATAAACAGTAGCTTTTCAATCTGAAGGGCCCAAGGTTCTTCAGCTATGACTTGGCCCGTCCTCAAACAGAAGCAAATATTAAAAGACAAACACAAGCAATTTTATCAGTGGCTTCAGTTCCATGAAGTCACTCAAGTTTTAAATTTACAAGAAATTACCATCATTAATGCTCAAAATAGTCAAAATATATTTAATGAAGACAGCATTATGTCAGGTAAAGCGGGGGATGCTGGATTTCTGTATTTTCAGTGTTCTGGTTTTAATATGAAGCTGTTAATAACAGACCCAAATACTAACTTAAAACCTCACAGAAGGACAGAGAAGAGTTAAAGAAACGTTTTGTTTGCCACCAAAAATTAAATCAAGTCTAGCACTCTGCTATTCTTACCTCTTTGACTCAGAAGAGCAGCATGAAAAGGCTACCTGGAACTGGCCACCACACTCAGAACATGCACAAGTTATTCCCACATAAAGACAAGGGGTAAACACCTCAGTCCTCCACTCAGCATTTTATACCCATTACTCCTAGTCCCTTTCTTATGCTAAGCCTCGCTTTCAAAGTTAACAGCATTCCAAACATCACTCAAACTGTTTTCTTCTCCTTCCAGAGGAGACAGCCATAAAAAAAAAGAAAGAAGAATTAAGTCACAAGTTACCTGCACCACACTAACCACAAGAGCAATCTGCAAGCAGCAGCACCGAAAAGCTGATTTTTTTCTCATGGTTTGTGTCACGTGTGTCCTCTGGTCTTCTCGCTCTGCTACCCCAAATCCTCCCCACACACCTCCCAACACAAACCTCTCCCCCACAGCTCTTCAATGCTGCCAAACCTCCCCAGCCCTGCGCGGGCCGTAGGCAGTTCCTCCGCCCTGAGCAGACACAGCGGGGCCGTGCATCTGACAGCAGCTCTCCCTCTGCAAGGGAGGCAATCTGGGTCTCACCAGGTTTCTCTCTGCAGTCAGGTTTCTAGTTTTCAGGAAACACACAGAACCATTTAAACCTCTACCACCTTGTCAACAGTTACCAGAATCTACAAGCTTCAGCTTGGTGGTCAGAAGAAAGCCAGCAGCATAACCAACTTTGGCTTCCTACTTGAAAGATCTCCCACTTCTCCAGCAGTCTGGGGAAACAGACCACTACAGAAGAGATGACTGAAGCAGGACTGAAGAGACCACAGCTCCAGTCCAACTGCTGGACAGGCGATGGAGACATTACTCACATGGCCTCTGAAGACTCCCATGGGCAGGGACAGGACCCTAAAAACCACAGTGGGGAAAATCCCGAAAGCCATAAGCAGAACGGTACCAGGAAGTGGGGATGGGGGAGACTGTCCTTGTCAACAGCCAGAACGAGCCTCAGGATGAGCTGGAGGGACGGTCCCTCATCACCAGGGACCAGAGGGAACGACTGGGAATTGTAAACAGACAAGACTCTGGGGATGAAGACGACAGAAGCAAAACAATGCCTAGGAAGATGGTACGGAAGTGTTTCCACATAAAAATAGTTAACTAGTTTAAAATTCTTCAACCACAATACACAGAATTTGGAGGGCAAAGGAACAAGATAACTATGAAATCATGAGTGGCGTAGGGAATGGCAACGCAGTGACTCCCACCGAACAGGAGCTGGGAGGCATCAAATTAAACTAAGATATACCGAGGTAAAAAAAAAATCAACACAAAGCTAAGAAGACAAAAAGCCCAACCTGGTGAACCCCTTCTCAGAGCACCATGTGGATGGGAGGAGCTTACATGTTTGGGTTCAGCAAGCTACTGGAGAAGTTGAAAGAAAAAAAAAAGGTAGCCTTACCAGCAATTCACCCTGACTTCTAGTTACAGATCATAAAATGGCTAATAATGCAAGAAGAGGCAAAAACATTCAATGCACACTTGTGCTCCACACTTAAAAGTGGAAGTAACAATAAATTCTTTTGTAGGTAATGAATATCAATACAGTTTAGAACATTTCAAAGTAGGCTAAGTAAACAAGCATCAGATTTTAGTAATTCTTGTAATAAGTAGCAAGTTTTTTAAACAGAGAAATAAGCAAAGTAACCTTCCCGCATAAATCCGATTTCTATCCTAAGCAAAACTGGAATAAAAAACTGCTCCAAGACTCAGAAAGGAAACAAACCAAAAATAACAATTATTGCCAATTGCCACTTTTATGCAGAAAAAACTGATATCAAGATGAGAATTTCTTGGCCACACCAATACATAAAATTATATTTTTAAAATTCAATATATTACATGGATCAAAAGTTACTGCAAGTTTCAGAATTTTGTGACTAGTATGTGGTTTAAGTCATGGGAGACAAAACCAAAAGCCTCAAGGATCTGTCAAAGCAAAACTGCCCCAGGCAGATGTTTGTACAGCTGTTCTCAGAAAAGCACATCCAAGGGAAACTACACACTCTTAAAATGCATTTTAGTCTTCAGTCATGCTTAATATTGAAAGTATTTTTTAATCACTTCATGAATTCTGATCTAAGTTCTTGTTTAAAGCTCTTCGGAGCTGGTGAAGAACAGTTCATTCTCTTCCTTTTTGCTGTAAAGTTTTATGACTGTGATGATTTGTGTCTCTTCCTGAGCCTCCTCTGCTCTAGAGGAAACATTCCTATTAAGTACAGCTCTAGGGAGAACTTGGTAGAAATCTGTTCTTGTCTCTTAAATACTAAAGCAAAGATCAATGGAGAAATTAATTATGTTAGAAAGCCACATACACAAACTCACCTTGCTCAGCCAGATCAAACAATATCTATTTTACTAAACCACAAAAATAACATCTAGACTAAATATGTAGATGTCTACTTGGAGATTTGGCTTCCTCTGCATTGCAGGAAATAAGGAGAGACATGAAGAAATACAGAAAAGCTAAGACTAACATGATGCTAAAAGCACCAAATATAGGTAAGGAAATAATATTCCTTTCTTGTAAAGACTGGCACAAACACTCTTGGGTCAGTTCCCACCCCCCTCCCCCCCCCCAGTTCTAAGTTGTGCTATTTATGCCTCCTTTCCTCATCTTCCCCAAACTAGCACCCCTACCCAGTGGCCCAAGGTGACTACTCTCAGGGTACCTTTTCCCAGGCTTTACCTGCTCAGAGCTAAGGACAAGTCTCGTCGGTGTTCTCAGCAGCCTTTGACACTGTCAGCCTCTCTATATTCCTTACACAAATGGCCTCTCCAAATACATTTATGACCATTCTTTGAAGTGAAGCAGTGTAGCAAGATATTCACAATTATGAACTCTTCAGTGTTAGTTTTAAGTCCTTGAGCATATTATTGACTTACAGAGTTCAACTAGGTCTCCCTAACAAACCTCTTGGCAGCTGAGCTAACCATGCTGAGGGAGCTGAGGGAAGGAGGTATTGTTGCCTCTCCCTACACAAGTTACTTCCTGTCATCATCCTAAACCTACAAGTCACACCCATAGCACAAGCAACATTTTCTAACCACCCACCTCCTCAAACCAGCAAAAAACCAGGCATTTCCAAATCGCACTGCATCAAACCAGGACTCCAACCAACCCCTACTTCATGTATTACCTTAACACAACTTTCTCTTTCCTAAACTCATGATCCTGCCCCCTCCAGACTACATGGGAATGACACCTTGCTAATCACTTAAATCACTTTTAACACTCCACATCTATTTTTAAAACTGCACAGTTAAGACCATGATGACAGATCTAAACTTAAGGACATAAATCCTTGTTCACTCCAGAACTATCCCCTTTACAACCCAGATGCCAGTTACCCCTTAAACTTTTGTAATCATTTTGCAGCACTACTTCGGTAGGGGACATAACCCAAATACCACATAATTTATCTTCCTTCAGACCCATCCTTAAGAGCTCACCACTACCAATTCACCCGTAGGAAGCAGTACATTGACCAAACCCAGGTAGAAAAACAAGACCAAACAAGCTAGAAATAGTGTTCTTTTCTATACTCTACCATTACCCCCTACCCAGGCTGGTGGAGGGAAGAGAACAAGTTACAAGCTACATAACAGACAACAGCTCATTTTAAAGTGCAAAAATATTTTTTAAATCCAAGTTGAGTATCTACTTTTTGTAGTACTCATGGCTAAGGAGTCATGATGATCCTAGCATTGTCAGAATCGACGAGGAGTGGAAGACCACAGCTCACACTTGCAGAACAAAGGACACCACTTAAAAAGCATTTTTGGATAAATTATTTCTTTACAACACTAATGGTTAAATTGTTTGAGCCATGATATGTATTTTTAAAAATGTGTAAATGCAAGAAAGACTTCAGAGTATTTTGAGCTCAGAAATGCATGTTAAAAGTTAGCTTCAAAAATGACTTCAAGTAACCTACATCCAGGAACTGCCATGAAACAGTTTTATGGCAAAGTTAAAATTAGTTTCAGAGCAGAAACACAAGTCTAACAAGTGACTAAAATTAATAACAAAAAATTTTATCTATTAATTTAAATCTTTAATTCAAAAAGTGCTATGAAAAGCACAGTATAGTTCATGTGTAAGTTATCGGGACAGATAATGGAGTAACAGCAATATTCTACGCTTAACATAGCGAGGTGGCCTGGTTTTGCTGGAGTTAGGACTTTATGTTGCTTTCAAATCTTAGCAGCTATATGTTTTCCTAAGCTGATGCAATTTTCCAACTAGTGTCAGCACTGGAAGCTCCACTTGTCAGAAAAATGAATAGCAGTGTATAAATAAGGAAGATATTTGGATGCTATCATTCAGATATTTGCAAGAACTACCTCTATTTCACACATTGTAAAAATAGTTCTCAAAGAGTTAAGGAGATATGAAAATAATGGAGACTCACTCAACAAATGTGGAAACAGCCAAGTTTACATCCACCATTAATTGATATCTATAATGAAAATCAGAACAGACAAAACTAACCCTGAATTTTTAAACCACCAGAACCTCCTTACTGAAAGTCAAATTAAAAGACATCATTCTGAACACCATGCACATGGTCTCCTCTAAAAAACCACAACAAACTGCAGGTTCTGATGTTTTCCGAAACTGTATACAACCTTAGCTGGAACAGCCAGTTAAAAAATAAGTTTCCAGACCAATACACATTTTGTTCTGCAACATGCTGAATATCTTCCAACTTCTAATAGAGAAATGGATGTCCAATACCTTACAAGCACCAGTGTAAGTAGAGGTTTCTAGAAAAAGAACGTTCTTTAACTTATCAGCAGACAATGTTAGCTCCAGAATGGTCAGTTAAGACCACTAAACAATATCGATGCAGCCCAAATACTGAGAGGGCCAACAGTAGACACTGCAACAATAATTCTGCACAGGATGTCCTGTTTGATGGGGAAGAGCACTACACAAACATCAAAACAATCACCACGGACGGTCAATTGAATACACAACGCAATGCCTTCTCCTCACTCTCAGCTTACCGTCAGATTGCTGTGCTGGTGCTGAAAAGCCTCCATGAACACTTTGCTTCCAGCTCCAGAGGAAAGCCAACTTGACCAGACAGATATTTTGCTAAATCAAAATTGTAACTGACAGAGAAATTATATATTTTAGAATTGTGTTGTTTGTCAACTATTTTGAAGCTACTTTTGCATTTTCTTTAAAATATTGCCCTAGGAAAAACTCCTCTGTTAATAGATTTTCCTTGTTAACTTTAATAAGGATAGTCTTTTATGGCAGACAATGCACTTACCCAGACAT